TACCACTGCCACTACGACTACGACTACGACTACTACTACTACTACTACTACTACTACTACTACTACTACTGCTACTACTACGCCTGCTACTACTACTACTACTACTACTACTACTACTACTACTACTACTACACCACTACTACGACTGAAATTACCACTTCTACCACTATTACTATTTGTATTATTCTTTTTTATTCATATTACTTCTACGATATTCTCACTACTACGAGGACTGCTTCTATTACCACGCATCGTGCTACTGATGGAGTAATGATAGTACGTTTCATAATGCGAGTAAGTGGTCGCAGAATCAGCATCCCGATTATCATCATCAATCACTGTACAATAGCTGTACGTATCACAATATCACGAGTACACATGATACGGGGAATCATCATCATCCTCAGCATCATCACCACCATCATTACCAAAGTCACCATCATCACTACTACCTTCACCATCACCATCACCAGTATCAGCGTTGTTCTCATCATCGTCAATCCCTTGGGCTCACGAAGGGGAGGACTAAGGCGGGCCAGCAGGCAGCAGCAGGGAGCGCGGCGACCTCGTCCTCAGCAGCTCCACGGCTCCTTTTTTGTTTTTTTTTTTTTTTTTTTTTTTTTTTTTTTTCTTTTGTTTTTTTTATTTTTCTCTTTCTTATTTGCTTTTATTTTTTTTTTCTTTTTTTTTTTTTTTTTTCCTTTTTTTTTTTTTTCTTTATTTTTATTTCTTTTTTATTTTAGATTTTTTCTCTCTTTACTCCTGGTCAGCCTCAAAGAAACAGGAGTCGGTGCGCCTCGCTTTCGCGCCAGTCTTAGGAAGAAGGAGGAGGAGGAGGAAACATCGTGAGGAGGGACGACTAGGAGTAGGAAAAGGAGGAGGAAGAAAAGGAGGAGGAGGGAGGAGGAGGAGGAGGAGGAGGAGGGAGGAGGGTGGAGGAGAGGGAGGAGGAGGAGGAGATAAAGGAGGAGGAGGAGGAACAGGAAGAGGAGGAGGAAGAGGAGCAGGAGAGGGAGGAGGAGGAGGGGGAGGAGAAGGAGGAGGAGGAGGAGGGGGAGGCGGAGGGGAGGGGATGGGGATGAGGAGGAGAGGCAGGCGGAGGAAGACCTGTGTAAACCCAAGAACCATCAACGATGTTAGAATAAACCCTCCCTCCGAGCTCCTTCTTCATAGGCCCCTACAGCGGTTCATTTCCATTGAGGGATCTGCCTCGATGGAAGACAGCCGCTTGAAGACCCAGAAGCATGCCAAAACATTGTTCTCGGTATTCCAACGCCACGGATCCACCTGACTGTTGCGCCTTGACGATCTTGGATCGTGCCAGAACGCCATTTCTGGGATTTCAGCACCGTCAATCAACGTAACGGTTGCACCCGCGAAATCCTGAATCCGTCCAAACACGCAACTTCTGGTACGGTGATCGTGGGAATCCATGGAACTCTTGCAAATTGTATGAACGAATGTGCGTGGCGCTAAGACGAGAGGCACACGTTGACAAGGATCCGCCCTCAATTTGTGAAACTCTTGCAATTTGGTAGATCGAATGCGCGCGGCGCTAAGGCGAGAGCCGCAGTTTGAAAACAGGTGTTTCCTCAATCTGCGAAGCTCTTGCCAAATGTTAGAACGAATGCGCGCGGCGGTAAAGCGAGAGCCACATTTCGAAAACGGGTTGTCTTCAAGCCGTGTCAACCCTTTAATGGTTTAGACCGAGGTCGCGCGGCGCTAAGGCGAGAGCCACAGTTTGAAAACCACCCGCCCTCCATTTGTGAATATGGTGCCACTTGTTAAGCTTCAGAGTCCTACGTGGTCAGGAAGTCTCAGGCGAAACACCCAGCCCGCCCTAAAAACTCGCTTCCGGGTGCGACAGGGAGAAGTTATTCCCTACCTAGGCACTGCCTAGAAGGGCTCTTACCCTCTGAGCTTAAAGGGGCTGGGCAGTGGAACACGCCCCGGGCGGTTCCCCCGGCATCCGCCCCGCGGTTCCCCCAGGATCCGCCCCGCGGTTCCCCCAGTTACGTCCCCTGGGTTCACCCAGCTTAGCCTAGCTTAGCTTAGCTTAGCTTAGCTTAGCTTAGCTTAGCTATATCATCTTAGCTTAGCTTAGCTTAACTTTGCGTAGCCTAGCTTAGCTTAGCTTAGCTTAGCTTAGCTTAGCTTAGCTTAGCTTAGCCTAGCTTATATTAGTTTAGCTGATCTAATATTAGCTTAGCTTAGCTTGGCTTAGCTTAGCTTAGCTTAACTTAGCTTAGCTTAGCCCAGCTGAGCTTAGCTTAGCATAGCTTAGCTTACCTTAGCTTAGCGCAGCGCAGCATCGCGCAGCGCAGCATTATCACAGCATAGCATAGCATAGCCAAGCATAGCATAGCATAGCTCAGCATATCATAGCATAGCATAGCATAGCATAGCATAGCGCAGCATATCATAGCATATCATATCATAACATAGCATATCATATCATAGCAGTGCATTGCGTAGCATAGCACAGCGCAGCATAGCATAGCATATCATAGCATATCATAGCGTAGCATAGCGCAGCACATCATATCATATCATAGCATAACATAGCGCAGCATATCATATCATAGCATAGCCTAGTATATCATAGCATAGCGCAACATAGCATATCATATCATACCGCGGCATATCATAGTATAGCATAGCATAGCGCAGCACAGCGCAGCGCAGCATCGCACAGCATCGCATAGCATAGCCTAGCATAACACAGCGCAGCCGAGCGTACCCTAGCATATCATAGCATAGCATAGCGCAGCATAGCGCAGCATGGCAAAGCATGTCATGGCATGGCATAGCATAGCATAGCGTAGCATATCATAACGCAGAGTAGACGGTATATGTATGTGCAGGTTTAGATGTAAATGTAGTTGTCGGTGTAGGTGTACATGTTGCTTTGCTAAATGCTCCAACTCCTAGGTAGGGTCGCACTGGGATACTTCATAATGAAAAGGAATGGAAGAGGATGATGATTAGGAGGAGGAGGAGGAGCAAGAGCAGGAACAGGAGCAGGAGGAGGAGGAGGATGAGGAGGAGGAGGAGGAGGAGGACGGGGGAGGAGAAGGAGGAAGAGAGGAAGAGGCGGAGGAGGAGTCGGAGGAGGAGTGAGGATGGGGAGGAGGAGGAGAAGAGACGAAGAGGAGGCAGGAGGAGGAGGTTTGAGAGGAGGAGGAGGATGAGGAGGAAGAGGAAACGGGAGGGAAAGGAGTGGGAGGAGGAGGAGGAGGAGGAGGAGGCAGGAGGAGGAGGAGGAGGAGAAGATGGAGGAGAATGAGGCAGGAGGAGGAGGAGGAGGAGAAGGAGAAGGATGGAGGAGGCGAAGGAGGAGGAGGAGGAGCCAGGAGAGGGGGAGGAGGAGGAGGAGGAGGAGGAGGAGGATGGAGGAGGGCGGAGGAGGAGGAGTGAGAGCGGAGAGGAAAACACGAGTACGAGGAGAGGAGGAGGTGGAGAGGAAGAGGAGGAGGAGGAGGAGGAGGAGGAGGAACAATGGAAGGAGGGGGGAGGAGGAGGGAGGAGGAGGAGGAAGGAGGAGGAGGAGTAGGAGGAGGGGAGGGGAGGAGGAGGAGGAGGAGGAGGAGAAGGAGGAGGGAAGAGGGAGAGGAGGAGGAGGCGGAGGAGGAGGGGAGGCAGGAGAGGATGAGGAAGAGGAGAGCGGAGGAGGAGGAGGAGGAGGAGGAGGAGGAAATGAGGAGGAGGAGGAGGAGGGGATGGAGGAAGAGGGGAGGTGGAGGAGGAGGAGGAGGATGAGGAGGAGGAGGAGCAGGAGGAGGAGGAGGAGTAGGAGCCGGAGGAGGGGGAGGAGGCAGAGGAGGAGGAGGAGGAGCAGGAGGAGGAGTAGCAGGAGGAGGAGGAGGAGGAGGAGAGGAGCAGGAGGAGGAGGAGGAGGAGGAGAAGGAGGACCAGTGTAAGCCCAAGAGTCATCAACGATGTTGGGAGTAAGCCCTCCCTCCAAGTTCCTTCTTCCCAGGTCCCTGCAACGAGCTGGGGCAACTGGGTCGTCGGAAGACAACCGTCTCAAGATTCTGAAGCATGCCAAAACATTGTTTTCTGGATTCCAATGCCACGGATCAACTTGATTGTTGCGTCTTGGCCAGCCTGAATCGTGCCAGAGCGCCATTTCTGGGACGTCAACGCCGCGAATCAACTTCACCCTCGCGCCCGTATGCTCCTGAATCTTTCCCAAACACATTTTCTGGTACGCTGATCATGGGAATACGTGAAACATTTTCGGTACATTTTATAGACGAATGTGCGCGGCGCTCAAGCGAGAGCCACATCCGTGAAGCTCGTTCAAATTCGTAAAACGAATATACGCGGCGCTAAGGCGAGAGCCACATGTTTCGAAAACCCACCCGCCCTCAATCCTTGAAACTTGTGCAATTTGGTAAAGCGAATGCGCGCGGCGCTAAAGCGAGAGCCACGTTTTGAAAAGGATCCGCGCTCAATCCGCGAAAAAAACCTGCAATTGTTTAAAAACGAGTGCGCGCGGAGCTAAGCGAGAGCCACATTTTGAAAACGAGTCGCCGTCAATCCGTGAATTTTTTGCAAGTGTTTAGAACCACCCGCCCTCCATTTGTGAAGCTGCTGCCAATGTTCAAGCTTCAAGGTCATAGACGGTGAGGAAGTCTCGGGCGGAATTCCTGGCCCGCCCTAAAAACTGGCTTCGGGGTACGACAGGGATTATTTCGAAAGAACAGGAATGGAGGCGGAGGCGGAGGAGGAGGAGGAGGAGGAGGAGGAGGAGGAGGAGGATCAGCAGCAGCAGAAGGAGGAGAAGGAGGAGGGAAAGGAGGAGGAGGAGGGGGCGCGCTCGGCGCGCGCTTTATCGGGCCTTGGCCCGGGGCCGCGCCTGGCTGCGCCTGGCTCGCCAGAGTTCGCAAGCATGCTGTAATCTCGAATCAGGTGCCGTCTTGGTTGGTCACAGGCTGGCGTTACCTCCTTCCCCTCTCCTTTCCTCGGCCGTGGACTGGGGGGGGAGGGCGTCCGAGGTCGTGCAGATGGCCGAGGCCGCGAGAGACAAGCGGGTCAAGAACAAGGAGGCGTTGCTGGGCCTGCGACCGCAGAAGGCTCCGGAGGAGGAGGAGGAGGACGAGGAGGAGGAGGAAGAGGAGGAGGAAGGGGGGGGAGGCGTTGGCGCAACAGCCATCCAGCCAGCACTGGTCTAACGTTAAAAAGGAGGAGGCGCGGGGGAAGGACACGACAGGCCCTGGTCGGGGTCGTTTCGGCCTCGGCGGCAGCGTGGGCGTGGGCGCTCAAGATGGAGCACTCTTGATGCACACCCCTCTTTGATGACAAGGCCCAAGATGTGGCGGGGCCCGAAGCAGCGACAGCGCAGCTTGCGCGGGGCGCCGCGGCGGGAGGGGAGCGGACGCCGACGGGCGCAGCAACGGCAGGCATCTGGGCGATCAGCGGCAGCGCCCCAGGCTGCCGCCCCAGCTGCGGCCCCGGCGCAGCGGCGCGGCGCGCCTCGGTGGGAGTGCAGCGGAGGCCGATGGATGCAGTGACAGCCGGCCATCTGGCGACCAGTGGCCCAGGCTGCCGCTCCTGCCGCTACAGCTGCCGAGTTGGTCGCCACCGACGTCATCGAGCACTCCTCCTGAGCAGGCGGGGCCCCCTGCCGCTGCGTCCTGTCCTCGGTCTTCCTGCAACCGCTTCCTCGTTGCCTGCCCGCGGTGGCGGCATCGCCTCGGGCATGCCTCTGCCGAGGTCTTCAAAGTAGCTGCAGCGATCAGCTGCCAGTCCACCTTGGGCATTCCTCTGCCGAGGCTTTCAGAGTATTTGCAGCGATCCGGCCCATCCCCTCGCGGGCTGCGCACTTGCGGCGTTCAGACGCTTCTCGCGCGCATCTGCCCGGGGAACCGCCCGGCGCCGCTCCTGAACTTGTTTCACAGCATGCAGCCGCCCCGCGGGCAGCCCAACACGAGCTGCCCCTGGTCGCGCGGCAGCTCCCTGCCGACGAGAGGTGGCCCCTCTCTTTGCTCAGCACGCGCAGTCAGTCCGCCCGTGCTTGCCCCCGCTTGGGCGGGCCTCTGACACGCCCGCTGGCGGGCGCGGAGCGGCCGCAGCCCGGCCTACCCCGCTTCCTCGCACAGCACCTCTCACGGCGACTACGAGTTCTACCCCTGGGGAACTGGAGGCCGCTTGCCATTCGGCGTCCGCTTGGCGCGACCTCCTCGCGTTGCCCACGCCTGTCCCTCGGCGCCGTTCACGCTGCTCGTACGGGGTTGCCCCGTCGCGTTTCTATGTCTGTCTGGCCGAAGGGTTCATGACGTCGAGCACGACATGCGTACCTGGGGAATTGAACGACAGTCTCTCTCTCTCTCTCTCTCGCCTTGTATGTCACCGCCGTCGCGGGTAAGTGTGGCATTTTCTTTTGATCCTGGTGCAGCGTGGGCTTCCCTACATCGTCGCTGTGAGTGATCCCGGTGTCGGGTGATGCCGTCCGCGCCATTTTGGCAGCGTTGAGCCTCGTCCCGCCCTGTGCGAGACGTTGCTCGCCTCTCTGTTTTTCCCTTCGCTAGTGGCGCGGCCCGCCCTAGCCAGCGTGCTCGGCGTTCGACTCTGCTTCGCGCGCCCGCGAACCAAGAAGAAGCAGGACCAGAGCCCCAGCTCCGCCTTTTTCTGCTACATCTCGGGGGCCACCTCGGTCTGTGATGGCCACGGGGCCCGAGACGGAGCGAAGGCGTCCTCTGTCAGCCGCGAGGGCGGCCGCACAGCGCGTTTGGGTAGGTGGCGCGGCCGCGAGGGCGGCCGCGCGGAGCTGCGGGCACACAGATGCGAGCAGGCGCCACGGCTACCAGCGCCGCGCGCGCTGAACCCTTGTGGCCAGGGCGGGCGATTCGCGAGGATCTGAGGCCGCCCTCGGCGGCGCGGCCAGTGCGGCGCACGACAGGCGACGCGGAAGGCACCCCGGTCCCAGCGCAGCGCGCCGAGCTGGGGGGCACTGCAGTGGACCTCTAGGCTTCCTCGATGCGTCGGCGATGCGGCTCGATGTGGATCCCAATTTTCTCCACGCCGACGGCGCCGACGTCGCTAGTGCGCCGATGTATTGCCGATGCATCGGCAATGCGGCGCGATCCTCCGACCCCATCTATTCCGACCCCATCTAGGAGGCCACTAGAGGACGGAAGGGCGGCTTGAGCCCAGTGAGTGAGAGAGAGGATTGAGAGAGGAGAACGGAAGAGAGGGCAAGATAAATGCGCTTGCGCCACGTCTGGCATCCCGCCCCTCCCTCCGATTTCTTTCCAGTGGGCTCACTCTTTTCCCAACCGCCTATCCAGGTGTCGAGCGAGACGGGGCCAGGAGCCAGGGGAATGGACGGAGGAGTGGAACGAGAATGACTAGGGCGAGGAGGGAAAAGGGGGGAGCGTAGCACTCAAAGTTGGGTCATGGCAGGCAGGGGTAGGAGCGCAGCGGGCGCCAAGGCGAGAGCGCCCTCCGGGACGGCCGACAAATAACGGCCGATGACGATCCGAGTGGGAAAGGGATGAGAAATACATGGCCGAAAACGGCCCAGTCGGTCGTTGAAGGTTTGTATTTGGGGACTCCCTGCTTCCCAAACAGTATTAGGCGCCCTCCTGTTTCTGTGATCGAATGGCTTTTCCTCTTCCTTTTTTCGCAGGCGGCGAGCGGGAACACGACCTGTTTTCAATGCCTTCCTGCCTCATGTCTCTATACTCGGTCGCTCAAACATGGCACCAATGACATAGCACAAATCGTGAAAACGAGTTTGGCATATGAAAAAAAAAAACATCTTTTGGATCGAGAACGTTGTTTTCCGAGCCCGACTTGTGCTATGTCGGGCGCGTTTCGCGCGGATCCTCTCGACCCGGCCGGCCGAGGGGATGGGGGGAGATAAAGAGAGGGAACAAAGAGAGAAGGGGGATGTATCGGAGAAACCTCGCCCCCAAAAGCGCCGCCCTGGCGGCGAGAGAGGGGGGCTCTCCTGAGTTGTGCTATGCGAGCCGCGTGATATGCTACGCGCGCGGGGGGGAGGGGGGAGGGGGGGGGGGGCGAGGGAGAGAGCGAGCCTCAGCCTGCCTCAGCCTCAGCCTCAGCCTGCTTCAGCCTCAGCCTCAGTCTGCCTTCAGCCTCGGCCTCAGCCTCAGCCTGCCTCAGCCTCAGCCTGCCTCAGCCTCAGCTGCCTCAGCCTCAGCCTGCCTCAGCCTCAGCCTCGGCCTGCCTCAGCCTCGCGCGCATTTCGCGCGGATCCTCTCGACCCCGCCGGCCGAGGGGATGGGGAGAGATAAAGAGAGGGAACAAAGAGAGAAGGGGGATGTATCGGAGAAACCTCGCCCCCAAAAGCGCCGCCCTGGCGGCGAGAGAGGGGGGGCTCTCCTGAGTTGTGCTATGCGAGCCGCGTGCGGAGAGAGCGAGCCTCAGCCTGCCTCAGCCTCAGCCTCAGCCTGCTTCAGCCTCAGCCTCAGTCTGCCCTTCAGCCTCGGCCTCAGCCTCAGCCTGCCTCAGCCTCAGCCTGCCTCAGCCTCAGCCTCAGCCTGCCTCAGCCTCAGCCTCGGCCTGCCTCAGCCTCGCGCGCATTTCGCGCGGATCCTCTCGACCCCGCCGGCCGAGGGGATGGAGGGAAAGAACAAAGAGAGAAGGGGGATGTATCGGAGAAACCTCGCCCCCAAAAGCGCCGCCCTGGCGGCGAGAGAGGGGGGCTCTCCTGAGTTGTGCTATGCGAGCCGCGTGATATGCTACGCGCGCGGGGGGGAGGGGGGGGCGAGGGAGAGAGCGAGCCTCAGCCTGCCTCAGCCTCAGCCTCAGCCTGCTTCAGCCTCAGCCTCAGTCTGCCTTCAGCCTCGGCCTCAGCCTCAGCCTGCCTCAGCCTCAGCCTGCCTCAGCCTCAGCCTCAGCCTGCCTCAGCCTCAGCCTCGGCCTGCCTCAGCCTCGCGCGCATTTCGCGCGGATCCTCTCGACCCCGCCGGCCGAGGAGATGGGGGGAGATAAAGAGAGGGAACAAAGAGAGAAGGGGGATGTATCGGAGAAACCTCGCCCCCAAAAGCGCCGCCCTGGCGGCGAGAGAGGGGGGCTCTCCTGAGTTGTGCTATGCGAGCCGCGTGCTATGCTACGCGTGCGGGGGGGAGGGGGGAGGGGGGAGGGGGCGAGGGAGAGAGCGAGCCTCAGCCTGCCTCAGCCTCAGCCTCAGCCTGCTTCAGCCTCAGCCTCAGTCTGCCTTCAGCCTCGGCCTCAGCCTCAGGCCTGCCTCAGCCTCAGCCTGCCTCAGCCTCAGCCTCAGCCTCAGCCTGCCTCAGCCTCAGCCTCGGCCTGCCTCAGCCTCGCGCGCATTTCGCGCGGATCCTCTCGACCCCGCCGGCCGAGGGGATGGGGGGAGATAAAGGAGAGGGAACAAAAGAGAGAAGGGGGAGTATCGGAGAAAACCTCGCCCCAAACAAAGCGCCGCCCTGGCGGCAGAGAGGGGGGCTCTCCGAGCTGTGCTATGCGAGCCGCGCGCGGAGGAGAGCGAGCCTCAGCCTGCCTCAGCCTCAGCCTCAGCCTGCTTCAGCCTCAGCCTCAGTCTGCCTTCAGCCTCGGCCTCAGCCTCAGCCTGCCTCAGCCTCAGCCTGCCTCAGCCTCAGCCTCAGCCTGCCTCAGCCCCAGCCCCGGCCTGCCTCAGCCTCGCGCGCATATCGCGCGGATCCTCTCGACCCCGCCGGCCGAGGGGATGGGGGGAGATAAAGAGAGGGAACAAAGAGATCAGGGGGATGTATCGGAGAAACCTCGCCCCCAAAAGCGCCGCCCTGGCGGCGAGAGAGGGGGGCTCTCCTGAGTTGTGCTATGCGAGCCGCGTGCGGAGAGAGCGAGCCTCAGCCTGCCTCAGCCTCAGCCTCAGCCTGCTTCAGCCTCAGCCTCAGTCTGCCTTCAGCCTCGGCCTCAGCCTCAGCCTGCCTCAGCCTCAGCCTGGCCCCAGCCTCAGCCTCGTCTTCCTCACCAAACGCGCGCATTTCGGGGGGGACGGGGGAGCCTCTCGACCCCGCCGGGGTTAGGGATGGGGGGAGTATAAAGGGTGGATACAAAGAGAGAAGGGGGATGTATCGGAGAAACCTCGCCCCCAAAAGCGCCGCCC